GGACAGTGCCTTCACATGATGCTTCCTGCTCAGCTCACCCTGGCAACAGGTCAAGTAAAGGTCCAGACTTTGCCCATGAGTTCTAGTGTCCATCCAAGGGTGCTCAGTGCCTATTCTCAAGAGGGCAGCAGGCTATTTCCCAGGCCCGTAAGTCCCTGCCCGTCAATGTCCCCTGGAGTGCCACTGGCTGCTCTGAATGCTCACCGTTGATAGGAGGAGAAGTTATTTATGTCATTTAATGCTGTTGTAGCCTGGAGATCCAGCCCTCTCCCAGGCACAAGGAGGTATTCGGTGGAAGCTACCCCTCTGTTTTGACAGTTCCTTCCCTGAGGAAATATAAATACCAACCTTCTCATAAGGTCCCAATGACAAACCAAAGTTCATCCTGGGGAGCCAATGAGTTTATTGAGCTTACTTCCAAAGCAGGGATGAGGGACTACTGGTCAGAGTGTGGAGGACCCTAAAGAGCTGCATTAGAAAACCTGCCCCCAGCATACATGATGGCTTCCCATAGCCACGTAGATAAAGTCCCTTTCCAGATAACCTTCTCCAGCCCATATGCTCTAACATCTCCTAAGACAACTTCTCTCTACCCATCTCTCTACCCAGGCCACGTGCAATTAGGCTGAGAGAAGAATCTGGAATCTCAGGTAAGGTTCAGTCACCCTCCCCACACCCTCCTTCTGTGAGGGAATACCAAAAACCAACTAGTGGGGTTGTGACAGCCTCTTGCAAGCAGGGAAAAATGTGATGAAAATGATGGCTGTTTTGCTTGGAGGACTGCATCCTACAACACCCTCTTGTCTACACAAGCGCCCAGGTTCCGTGCCTGCACAGGTCTGCACAGGTGCCCATCTTCCTACCTGCACGGGAGCCTATTCCCCTGACCACAAAGATGCCCACTTTTCTGTATGCGCAGGTACCTCACTTCCCCCTCTGCATAGGTACCCCTCCCACCACCCACCCCTTCCTCCCCTTCCTCACCTCCCAGTCTTATTTCCTCTTTTGTTGTCCCTTCTCTGCCTGAAGCCTAACCCTGCTCCATTGGCTCTGTTTTGTTCCGTAGCCTTCCCACTATCATTTCCTTATTTGGGGGGTGGGGGTGGGGGTGAAACACAGCCCTCTGGGAAGCGTCAGGCCTCCTACCTGTGCTGGGACACTGGAACGTGACTCCTGAGGCCCATGGAGCTCAGTCATCCTCTGACTAATTTAGAAACAACCTAATGGACCTAATTCTTAGCTCTCCCTGGAGAAGCACCACCATCTGTCCTGATTTTGGAGGCCGCCTCCCCATCCCTCTAGAAAGCTGTGTAACCCGATTTCACCCATCCCAGAGAAGGCAGAGGATGTATATACTCAAGGACCAGGCAGTGGACTGCTCTGTTAGACAGCTGGACCTGGGCAGGGGTCAAGAAGCAGGGCCACACACAGATGTTCTGCATCAAAAGAAGGAAGAAAATTCAGAGTTTTTTATATCCTCAGGTCAAAAGGTCCCCTCTACATTGCCACAAGAGTCCAGAGGTCAGTTTGGTGTAAGATGTTCCATCCATCTATCTACCCATCCATATAGTCATCTCATACATCCACCCACCCACCCATTCATCCATCTACCCAATCATCCATTCATATCCATCCATTCATTCATACATTCCATACATACGTACACCCACACATCCATTCACCCACCAGCCATTCTGTCTGTCCACTCACCTACCCACCCATCCATCCACTTGTCCATCTATCCATCCATCCACCCACCCACCCACCCATCCATCCATGTATCCATGCATCCATCTACCCACCCACCCATCTATCCATCCATCCACCCACCCACCCCATCCATCCATCCATCCATCCATCCACCCACCCATCCATCCACCCATCCATGCA